CTTCTTCTTCTTCTCTGCCATAATGACCTTCGTCGCCCTCCTCCTCCTCTTATCCTTCTCCCTTCCCTCGTGTAGAACTACTAAATGCACAGAAATGACTCAAATGAGCATCATTAAAGAGAACAGACAAAGGTGCAGGTGTGCTAAAAGTGAATGGGTCTCTCTGCATTCCGTACTAGATGTTCACAGACATGGTGGGCCTTGCACCTCTCAGAAAACAACAATGAAATGGCATTTCATCAAAGCATATTCAGTTATCAAGCATTACAACCATTTAAAAATCATTGATGTTCACAGACATGGTGGACCTTGCACCTCTCAGAAAACAACAATGAAATGGCCATTTCATCAAAGCATTACAGTTATCAAGCATCACAACCATTTAAAAGTTATATACCACTTGATAGAAGGTTGTAAGGTAAGGCATGGGCATGAGCGATCCGGCATCTCCGACGACGGAGGTGGGGAAGTGGATGGACTAGTGTGAGGGCGAAGTGGTGTGGAAGCCCCCTGAGGATGACCATGTGGCGGTGGTTGAATCCGGTTGGGGGGGGGAGCTGAACACACCGGGAGTACTTTGTGATCATTACTATCTGTTTCACTTTGTGCTGTGAAAACTTGCGTGAGTTTGACTTGTACGTGTGTACGTGTGTACTACGTGTATTAGTGTGTATCTCAAAAACACGATTGCATCCAAAAAAAGAAGAAGAAAGAAAAGAAAAGGAAAAAAAAAACACTTTTGTATCCGCTCCAACAAACAACTCCTTTCTCAGGCATAACACTACATTTCTCCCCTTTCCACTTGACGCCTGGTCTTGATGTTAGTATGTTCTTTTTGGCTCATCAAATTTCGTTTCAGACCTTGACTTCTGGACGTTGGTGAGTTACTGGTGTACTATCTGTTGCTTCCATACTCAGGCTCGATGACCTATCTCTTCGTCTTTCTGTCGGTCAGTCCGTCTGCCTCCCCGCCATCTGTCCATCTGTCTGTTCATCTGTCTGCAAAAGAGAGAGATAGGTAGATAGATAAAAAGATGAATAGAAGAATTGAATTGAATTGAACAGAACCAAGCGGAACCAATGGAAATGAAGGGAACTTAACCAAACCGAACAGAACCGGACCGCACCCCGCCGCACCAAACCGAAGCGGGCTGAACCGGAGCACCGATATGAATTGCATTGAATAGAATGGACGTGAATTGAAATGAATGGATGTGAATTGAATTGAATTGAGTTAGATTGAGTGAAGTGGAGTGGAGGAGTGGAGTGGAGTGGGATGGGGTGGGGTGGGGTGGAGTGGGGTGAGGTGGGGTGGTGGTGGGGTGGAGGTGGAGTGAGATCTGATTGGAGGTGGAGGTGCGGCTGGATTGGCTTGTATCTTATTAGAATGGAACTGGAACTGGAACTGAAACTCGAACTGGAACTGGAACTGGAACTGGAACTGGAACTGGAACTGGAACTGGAACTGAAATTGGAATTGGAATTGGAATTGAAATTGAAATGAGATTGAATTAAATCGAGAACGTATATCGAATTGAAATGAAATGAAATGCGAAGAAATGAGCAGACCGCACTGGATTGGATTGCTAGACTGGATTGATGGACTAGACCGAATTGAATTGAATTGAAGTGAGAAATTGATGAATTGAATTGAATTGAGAATTGAATTGAATTGAATTGAGAATTGAATTGAGAATTGAATTGAATTGAATTGAATTGAGAATTGAATTGAATTGAATTGAGAATTGAATTGAATTGAGAATTGAATTGAATTGAGAATTGAATTGAATTAGCTGGAAAGAACTCTTAAAAGAAAACTTCTCATGGAAAGCAGGGGAATGGGGAGTGCTGACACAGGAAAGAGTACCCATGAAAGCATATCAGTTCTCTCGCAGGACCCCTGGCCAAGCTCGTGCTGGAGTCTTCATCTCCTTCCCCATAGATAGATCTAACCCGAAGTCCCTCGCCATTCACAATACTGCCTCACAAGAAGTAACTCTGAACTCCTACACGTTGAGAAAGGTGAGAGTATTGGGGAACTGGCCGAAGAGTATATTCCACATGGACACAGCAATCGAAGACCTTGAATTCGACCCACATGCTTTGTGTGGTTCCCAGAAGCTAGCAGATTCTGTAAGAATCCTACTCAGATAACACAGTACACAGTTAAGATGGGATATAAAAAGTTTCTAAGAACCAAAGACCCCGAGCCAGTAATCATAGAAGGATGGACCAAACTGCTCGGTCAGAGAATGGAACCAATTGTGGAACTCCCCTGGCGGAAGTACAAATCAATTCGCCCAGTGAAAATAAGAAGTCTCCAATGGCTGATCACCTACAATGTCCTCCCAGTGAATGCCTGGCTACATATGCGAAGGAAGAACAGCGATCCGAACAGCTCAGAAGAATGTGGGGCATGTTCAGACAACAAACAGGAAGACATAATACACTGCCTGATCACTTGTAAACTCGCTACTGACCTGTGGGCAAGAGCCTCAGCGCTTTGGGACGACTTATTTCCCTCTCCCCTACGCGAACACCCAATCGATCTTCTCCTATGGACTAACACCCCATCTCTTGCCCCCAAATCTGAACGCGTCTGGTTCGGAATTATCAGGAAGGTGACACTGTGGGCCATCTGGAAGGAGACATGCATGACAATTGACAAGACAACTAATCCGACTGAACAAGTATGGGCGACTACAAAACAGTTCATGGAGACCGATATCCGGTGTCAATGGAAGAAGGTCAGATGCCAAGTTCAGCAAAATCCAGAGAAACAGCAAGAGTTGCTTGTCCAAGGGAAGATAGCTGAGATCCAGGATCTACAAATAAGATGGAAGATAGCTGAGATCCAGGATCTACAAATAAGATGGAAAGACTGGCACAATTCGTCGAT